GGTCAGGGTGTCAGCGTGGTCTCGCCTCACACGCGTGACGTGAGGCAGAGGTCAGGGTGTCAGCGTGGTCTCACCTCACACGCGTGACGTGAGGCAGAGGTCAGGGTGTCAGCGTGGTCTCACCTCACACGCGTGACGTGAGGCAGAGGTCAGGGTGTCAGCGTGGTCTCACCTCACATGCGCCACACGAGACAGAGCTCCAGGGTTTGGCGTGAACGCACGTATTTATGCGAATACGACTACAGATGCGTTATCGTCTGTCCTCCATATGATGAAAAGTAAGGGTAGGCTGGCCACACACGTCCGTGCGGCCTCCACTGCCTACATTATGTTATTGTTCTTATTGTTACATGTAGTCCGCTTGTATTTATGGATCCGTCCCCGGAGCCACCGCCTCAGTTATGCCCGTGTATACGTGATATATGCTCCTGATATATGTAGTGTTCATGCTCGAGCTTCTCTGTGTTGCAGACGTGGCGATTGGGCGCGTGCACGACGCTTGCATGAAGCACGGCTACGTGTTCTTCCTCACGTCGGACCACGGAAACGCCGAGAAGATGTTTAGTGAATTCGGAGGCCCGCACACGGCGCACACGACTAACCGCGGTAACTATACACACACGTACCCCTCGCGTATTATTGACTGTGTTACATATATGTATGTTGTATGTTTAAATATATATATATATATAAGTCTGGATGCTTGAGTCTATACTGTCAGTAGAGTGCTCGATGCGTTAAGTCGCCGAGCGTAATAAATGGTAGTCTGTAGATAAATTAAAGACAAGACATCACTTTTAGCTGTTACTCCGAGTTTCACGCTTACGCGATCATCAGACAGACTTTAATGAAGAATAAACCTTATATACATACTATAACCTATATATACATGAATGGCGCTATTGTTTTAGTTATCTATTGTTATGTAGTTCTATAGTTCTATAGTTAAATCGATCTATTGTTCTGCTGGTCTATTGTTGTTCGGCTTTTGACTTTTTTGTTTTGTTTCTAATCTTATTGCCGCCATTTATATCTGATCCGATCTATAAAAACAAACATTCAACAGCAGTTCTTAGACTTATACAAGGGTAGGATAATATATATATATGTTTTATATTAATATATACATATATATATATATATATATATATATGTATACACATATATACATATACACATACATACATATATACACACGCATACATACATATACCACATATATATATATAAATATTGTATATGTATTTATATATGGTATATGTATGTATGTGTGTGTATATATGTATGTGTGTGTATATATGTATGTATGTGTATATAATATATATGTATATATATGTATATATATATCTATATATATATATATATTATCCTACCCCTGTATAAGTCTAGGTACTGCTGTTGAATGTTTGTTTTTATAGATCGGATCAGATATAAATGGCAGCAATAAGATTAGAAACAAACAAAAAAAGTCAAAAGCTAAACAACAATAGATCTATTTAACTATAGAACTATAAAACTACATAACAATAGATAACTAAAACAATAGTGCCATTCATGTATATATAGGTTATAGTATGTATATAAGGTTTATTCTTCATTAAAGTCTGTCTGATGATCGCGTAAGCGTGAAACTCGGAGTAACCGCTAAAAGTGATGTCTTGTCTTTAATTTATCTACAGACTACAATTTATATATCAGTGTATATATATATATATATTGTATATTATATATATTTGGTAATATAAGTAGAGTTTATGTTACTATGCACATTAGGGCTGTAACGAATACACTAGGTCACGAATACGATACGTATCACGATATATGCATGCGAATACAAATATTTCACGAATACGAATACTCACTTGTTGAAGCTGTAAAAACTACCAAGGAATAAAAGATATATATATATATATATGAATGAACAAAAATGCTTTATGTTAACGATAGAATGGCGCGCAATCATGCCCTGGCTTCTCGGGTGTTTTAGCAGATGTATTTTAGCAGACTCACATGAAAATGCGTATGTGTGTCTGCGTGTAAGCACTCGCGCATTTGTGCGTGTGCGTGTGCGTGTCTGTGTACGCACGTGTGTGTGTGCGTACGTGTGTGTGCATATGTGTGTGTGCGTGTGTGTGTGTGCATACGTGTATTTGCATGTGTGTGCGTGCGTGCGTGCGTGCGTGCGTGCGTGCGTGCGTGCGTGCGTGCGTGCGTGCGTGCGTGCGTGCGTGCGTGCGTGCGTGCGTGTGTGTTGTCCGCTATGCCTCCGGACAACTTTCGTCCGTTAACGAAAAACTTTTAGCGGACGTTAGTGAAACGCGATACGCGCTCGCGATTGATCGAGCCCCGTACTTCATCAAAGGCGCCGCTGCCGCGCACATGGCTGGGAAAACGCGGCATGGCTGTGTCAGATTTTCGTGACATCACTGTACACGTGTATATCACATGTCAACAAGAAAACCGCGGTATTGAGCTGGTTACGGTATGATAATTCTAAAATATTACACCGCAATAATATCGCAATACCGGTATATACCTCTGCAACCCTAGTATCAGTCCCTTCTCATGCTCGATATAGGGTGAGTTGCACGTGATAGTAAGTTCTCGACGTGTGAGAAGGGACGGGTACCAGTCTAGGTGCATTCACGGGGAAAGCTGCAATCGACATTCAGAGTTCGAGCAAATCGGCGTAGAATTGCAGTTTAAAAAATATTTTTTCAAGTAGGTTCCATTTATATTATTTGTATTCGTCAGTATTTGAATAATGATGACGCGAATAACGAATACGTATCATCCAACAACAATATTCGGTGCACCGAATACGCGAGTGTATCGTTACAGCCCTAATGCACATGCTCAGAGCATGTGCTCACCACTGATCTCTACTATACTAACTGGATAGCTCTTAGCCTATCCACGCTCAACGTGAATGTGGCGCCACCGCGCCACCTGCCGCCATCTTGCAACCACTCCTCAAAGCTGAATCTGCCGGTCTGTGCCCCACAACATTTCAAATGAAAAATAAGAAAATGCGACTTATTCTATTATTCAAATTAGCATGAAAAAAAACTTTGATCAATACTTAAGAGATTATATAAATATGGATATGTATATATCTAGATATATACAGCTAGAATGAAAGAGAACATATAGATATATATACTAGATATATACATATCCATATTTATATGATATAGAATAGAATAAGTCGCATTTTCTTATTTTTCATTTGAAATGTTGTGGGGCACAGACCGGCAGATTCAGCTTTAAGGAGTGGTTGCAAGATGGCGGCCGGTGGCGCGGTGGCGTCACATTTGATAGGCTAAGAGCTATCCAGTTAATATAGTAGAGATCAGTGGTGCTCACACGTTCTCTTGTCGTCGCCGCTCACGCATGTTCTCTTGTCGTCGCCGCTCACGCATGTTCTCTCGTCTCTCACGCTTTCAGTACCTTTCATCTTGTCGAACAGCGTCAACAAGCGCGTCTACCGCGAGATCAAGCACAACGCGGCGCTGTGCGACGTCGGACCCACCGTGCTTGACATGATGGGTTTCGCGATCCCGAAGGAGATGGACGGACAGACGCTGCTCGCCTAGCAATGCTGCGGTGTTCCTCGTTCCGCAGGGATGCTCGGCAGCCGGCGCGGCGCGCAGGAGCTCGCGGTTAACATAGTAGTTCATGCCTAGTCTGCTTCGCTAGCGTAGCTCCGCTCAGTACAGGGTTTCGTTTTTTTTCACTCGCTCTCCACGCGTGGCTCGCCTCGTGGAGTCGAGTGTTTCACCGGTGAAAAGTTTTAGTTGTGCGGGGGTGGCGCGCTCGCCGGCTCTGTGGCTTGCTGCCCGCGTTCAGTGTCTCGCGGTTCGATCGCGAAAATGCAGATCAAACGATCGGTCGAATCGACGAGGGAAAACTCTGTGCGCGGAGGTTACTGCAGGTTATGGCGCTTGCGTCCACTCCTAGCACAATCATTCCTAAATAGTGTCACTCGCGTCACCGCTAGTCTGTCATTCAATTCACAGTAAAACTTTTGGCCAGAATTTAGTAGCTCACACTGCCAGCTTGGAAGGGGTCGGTACCGATGGTGGGTGTACGAAGGGTAAGTTCGGAGGTTTGACGTCCGGCGTTTACCTGCTGTGACCGTTAGTCAGTTAATGATTTGCTGCACAGGAGGACTGCGTGCGGACATGCACGCTTGTTAGTCAATCATGTCGCGTGTGCACACTTGTGAAGCAAGAGAAATAAACAGTAACTGCCAATGTCACCACGCATAAAGACATCGCATGTAAGAGTAATCCGAGTGTCTGTTATCGCTGAATCGCACAAGCGTCGTTTGTGTTTGTTTGTAGAAAGGTACGACAGCGTGGTTTTTCAGCGGCGAGTTGGCAACTTGTGTACGGTGATGGTCCGAAAGGTCACGTCCCCCCAACCAACCCCCAGAATCTCTCTCATCACGGCACTGTTGCTCTTTTCTTCCAGATTGGTAAAAAGAGTCCAAATCTTGTTTCTGTCCATAAAACAGTTACAATAAAAATTTAAGAAGTTTTAAGGGTAAATCCTTTCTTCGCTTCTCATCGCACATTTCTGACTACCACACGGATAGAGGGAGGGGGGAAGCCTCACATATGCCACTTGCCATTTGTTGTTTTTATTGTTGTTGTTACGTTTATGAATGTTGTCCGATTTCACATGAAGCAATACTGTGTAACGATTGTCGTTGCGACACATTGTGGCAGCTTAGCCTTAAAGGATAGAACAATCAACGCGTATGGTTCCAGTTTTCCCTCGCATGCAACGATGCACAAGATACATCCGCATCGAAGATGATGATCGATCTTTTGGCTTCCCCTCGAGGTTGAAGCGTTGACGTTCAAGGGTATTGTTACCAACTATTGTGTTTACTAGCAGTTACTAAGGAGTGAATAAAAATAGGAAATACTGATGAAATTCATGCATGTTTGTGCAAATTGTTGTAGCGATACTGTGGTTACCTCTCCAGTCAGGCAGACACCTGTCTATGAAGGGCACTTGACGTTTTCCTAAAGTGGCAGTTATACAGCCAAATATCTGCTAGAGAACGAGCGCATATTTATAAAAGACACTAAGTGACGGTTGCAAACAGGTTTGATTATACAAATGAGTACATTTCGCTGCGAATGCTGCCGAACAAATTGCGAGGAAAACGCGAGCCTCTACAAAAATAAATTTGTATTTATTGTAACGATCACAAAGAATGCTCTACAAAGTAAGAACATAGCAGAGAATGGTCAGACACACCACATCGCAAGCGTGCCTAGTCGCAGACACGATTTTGCAATAGACACCACTGACTGCTACCACGGTGTACGACTAGGCTACTTCGTACATGCCACTCATACCGGGCCTCTCAACACAAACTATTTCATAGAGTTAGCATTCGGCACCAGCAATGACTTCTAATAAAGTACTTGTTACTTTACCGATCTGAAACCGCTGTCAGTTTCTCGTTTTACGAGGTGGTCTAACCCGTTAACAATCGCCTCTACAGCTGTAGGGCAATGCCGCATCTGATATAATCTCTTCCTATATGTGTCCCAGTCTGAGGAAACCAGCATTCTATCTATTACATCACACATATATCTGTGTATACAAAATGCTGCATAATCAGCATGATCACATCTCAGAAGAAGTCAAATGATTTCGCTATATAATAATTTAGCTCCACTATCTAGCTACTATTTGTACTGCGTGTACATTACAAGAAATTGAAAAGTTCAATTTCGTTAGGTCTAATTGCAAGCAAGTTTCTCACTAAACTTGTAAATAAAATTTGTGAGCGAGTGATTAGGAGGTGGAGGCGCCAGCGATCAGTCCCTCTTCTGCCTCTCCGAAACTGTGCCGTCGGCATTTCCAAAGTACGCTTTGTACGTCATGCCGACGAACAGGCCCGTCTCCACCACACCTGATGGAAACGACAAAGACGTGCAAGTCACACGCTTTGTATTACAATTCTAGGAAAAATATGTAATGTCAAATCAAGGAGCATATGAGTTTTATACGAGGTTTGGTTATGGTAACATTCGGAATTACTAAGAGCAACAAGCAAGACATGTTAATACTCAGTATTAAGACGGGAAGTAACAGTAAAGAACACAAACTAGCTTGTTGACACATAAAACGAATTAATTGTAAGAAACACGAGCATACCTGGAATCATTTTGATCTGCGTGTTGGTCTGCTGCCAATCTCCAACTTTCTCCCATACCCAGTCGATGACAAATCCACCATTATCCGTCACAACAGGGCCCTAAAATGTTAAAATACCACCATGTAATTGCCAGGAGTGAGCAACCGATTTCCTTAGCCATTCAGCCTCGCAACATGGATATTCTAAAACAGAATGCTTAGCAACATAGCCACAAAGTCGACAATTTGGCGTGCACCCGTGAAAAACGTACAAACTGCTCTGGTACTAGTTTGACCAGCCCAGCAACAATATCCAGGGAGGTGTGGTTCTCTCAGCTAGACGGATGGGCCACCTCTCTACTTCACTCCTAGTGAGTGAACTCCTGCCTCTCCCATTTCTCCACATCTTATCTCTCTACGTATACCCCTCTCCTACTTCTCCACCTTTGCTTCTCTACCTCACTCCCACTTCTCCACATCTTATCTCTCTACCCTCTCCCACTTCTCCACCTGTCACCTCTCTACCCCTGTCCCAATTCTCCACATCTCATCTCTCTACCTGCTCCCACTTCTTCACCTGTCACCTCTCTACCCCTCTCCCACTTCTCCACATCTCATATATCTACCCCTCTCATCTCCATCTTAATACTATCAGATTCTCTGCCTATACTATCTGACTACTAAGTTTCTCCGTATACGTATTCAGACACCACGTCAATACTAGATTCCCAGTCTTAATACACTTATCGGCTTAACATACTTGTTGGCTTAATACACTCATCAGTTTAATACACTTACTAACCTAATGCCCTCATCGGCTTAAAGGAATAATAGGTCCATTGATTATGCAATGTTGACGAATGCTAGAGTAACTGGCACCTTGTGTAGTTAAAGGAATAATATGGCCATTGATTATGCAATGTTGACGAATGCTAGAGTAACTGGCACCTTGTGTAGTTAATAAGTAGGTAACCTTATAGCCTAATGCGTATTAGTTTGTCCAATATCACTGCTGGTTACATTACAAGCAAGACTTGAAATCGGTTGTTGATATTCATTTACGTGCCGTAAATTTCATCCAGGAGTCAAGCGATAAGTCGCCGATGACGTAAACATTTGTGCGGCCCGTATGTTTTTTGGATGCCAGATAAAATGGAGGTGTCAGCTGTGTAACCACGGCCATGGACTAAACATGGAAATGGAGTAAAACACACGTACTAATCACGGACGCACATGGACAGCCCTGACAAAAAGTTATTTATCACGAGCGTCCGTGTTTACGAAATCACTGATGATAGCATTGCGTATGGCCGAGCATGCGTGCGAAAATGTCCGGTGCACTATAAATCTGTATCACACCCGCTTCGCCGGCAGCGGTTTGAAACTGTAAACAACTCAGTCAACCGATTTCTTGGACTGCAGATTTCAATTAGACATTTCTTAGTAACCAGCAGTGATATTGGACAAACTAATACGCGTTTGGCTATAAGGTAATGTACCTATTAACTACACAAGGTGCCAGTTACTCTAGCATTCGTCAACATTGCATAATCAATGGACATATTATTCCTTTAACACATCTATCAACCTAATACACGCAATTATCAGCCTAACACACTGATCAACTTAATACGCCTATATGCACGCCGTGGAAACAAGGTTTCACCGCACCGCTTTATTCTTGGCCATGCGAAGCTCCGCTTTTCCTCCAAGCATCTTCTGCAGCTTCCGGGCGACAGATGCGTACGCGAGCGGGAGCACTTCGATCGGCACACCGCGCGCCCACTGCTCCCCTAGCGAGCGTGAATCCTTCCTGCGGCACGCGAAACGAGAGTAAACAGGAGTACGACGCGTTCTCTGTTTGTGCCTTCGGTAGCAGCTTACAAACGTATTGCAAAAGTTGTCGGTAGGACGAAACGGAGCGTGCGAGGCGGTACTCATTATTTGCGCCCTCTATGCCTAAATCAAGGTTTTACGGCCGAAAGGGCAATCACTGTTTCGTCAATTATACATGTAACATGACCCGTGTATTGCGGGTGCAGGGAGTAAGTGACAGTAAAGGAAAGTCCAGGAAGATGGAAAGTATTTTTTATGTCAACTGAACTGAAGTGACTTTGCATACGCATCTATACGTCTTAGAATGCTTATCCAATGCTCGCATTTCTGGCACGGCATTAAGGTTGGTGCTGATGGAGTATAGCGTGAGGTGTGAGCAAACTCTTTAGCCTCTCGATTTTTGGCATACTTCAGTAATTAAATCAACACATTTTGTTGAGAAATGGAAACATTTACTGATGAACTGAAAAAGGTCAAAAAAATACCGTGAACTAAGATTTGGAGTACCCCACCTGGACACTCAATTGAAGGAAAGTCTTTTACTTTTACTCGTTAGGAAGTAGTTACCTCATCGAGGAATGTGCCAATCGTTTTCGATCCTACCTGTAGTCGGCGACGACGATGAAGCATTTGGCGGCAGACGCCACAATCTTCTCCTGAGTTTGGCAGCCTCCGCCCCCCTTGATGAGAGTAAGGTTTTCATCTACCTCGTCTGCACCATCAATGGCTACGTCCAACTGTAGTTTAAATAGGCAAGAGCATATTTTAGTCCTCTTCCTGTCACTGTCACAATTTCACTAAAGCATCCTACCGGTATATTGGATTAAAATATTACAAATTAAGTGTGATTTTGTTTCACTTCATCATAGGCTATTGGCCACGGTTCACTCACGTAGTATAACAGTGTGGCACCTACCATTTTCAAATTACAGTCTATTGAAATCATGATACAAATAATATTTATACCACCCAAAAAAAACATGGCTGTTGACAATGACCGATGAGTCCGACCAAAACGAATTATTTTTTAAGCCGTCCTAATTAAACGCCTGTCATAGGAGAGCGAACGAATCGATATCGCTCGCACCCGCGACACTGCGTACAGTATTAACCGTACCTCCGGCGTTCGTTCAAGGTCGGACAAGGTCAGGCCGTTAGTGATGATGAGCTGTCTCGCCTGGAACGATGTCGGAACACAGACGACCTTCAGACCTTCCTTTCTCACCCTCTCGGCTAAGGCAAGTGTGAAGACAAGCATGAGGTATCACGCTAACACACGTGAACCGCACACACAACAATATTTCATTACTGAAATATGGTGCGTTTCATTAGCGTCTGGATAATGATAATCATAATGCCTTTGTGATATTGATAAAGGCATTTATGCTGAAAGGCCTTTGTGTATTCATATATATATCACAGAATTTTAAGATTGAAATTTACCCACGATCACATAAAGACCGTACTATCTTCACATGCAAACTTGATTTTTTCAAAAACAGAGCTTTGCAGCAATTATTATTATTTATATAATACCTGATCACCTACCAAGCCTCTCTACGGCATAAACAATGGTAGATCCACTTCCAATTCCAATGGAATAATTATCCTAAAAAGAAACGGAGTTTTAGTTAAACTAACTTCAACATATATATAGACGGTTATTGCTGATATGACACTTCCCTTTAAAAACAACAGATATCAGGTACGGTGGAGGAGCAACGTACAGTTATCAAGACAATTTTGTTTTTGGGCTATTGGCTGGGTCAGTGAATTTATCTAAGGCATAAAAACCTTTCTCCCTACGATGGAATGGGGACCGTGAATCCTTGATGGTTTGGATGACAAGGTAATAGGACAGACCCATATTCAGTGATAGAAAAGCAAAAGAACCGGTAATGAAGGATGTTAAATACTCTGGAACTGGTAGTGGCCACCCTCAATTTTACTGACAGAATCTTCAACATTATGCATTTTAGAGGGACGTGGATGATCCACCCTGTCAACACATCAATTGTTTTAGACAACCAATGGCAGCACTAATATTAGCATGTCAAACTATATATAATCTAAACAGCCAGAATTTGAATGCAGACAAAAATGATTTAGCAGATGCTTTTGTGCAGACATACACATCTAGACTGACTACAAGTGCCTGTGTCCGAGTCTGCATGCTTGGATCAACGATATAGTTTCAGACACCGTAAATGTTTTTTCGCATATGTGCTAAATTAATCCAGGGTGCTAAACTAGGTTTGGGCTAGCTCTAGTAACTAGATAGCCCACGTACGGTTGCCGCAGGGCTATAGGATCTTCCATTACGGATGCGCGGGACCAACTTAGTCACGGTTAACCGTGGTTATAAAACGTCTGTGGTAGGCAATTAATGCCTCTTATCCGAAGTGAATATGTCTTAAGTTATATCCGCTACTAAAATTTAACCTCTAACTATCGTTACAATGGTCTACTTGCGATATTTCTTGTGAACGAACATTATTTACGAACTTCAAACAGCCATTTTCGGTGGGGCTGCAGCAGCGCCAGTCAGCGTGTTGGTCCCTAGCATTCGTAATAGAATGTTCTATAGCCCTGCGGCAACCGTACGCGGGCTATAGTTACTAGAGCTAGGTTTGGGCCATCTGCTCTCATAAGGTTGATGCCAACAACTTAAAGGGATACTTTCCCCTAGAATTGGAGAGTATATTATGATAGTAGATTAATAAATAATAGCATATACCTACAAATTTCTATAATTACGCATTCACGTTTCTCATAAAACAACATTGAATTTTGAAATTTTCATTGTTGGGTACAGACATGACACCCGTGATCGTGCTGCCAACCTGAAAAAGTTGCACATTTGCCCATTTATTTTGCACGTTATAGACCAAGGGCTAAATCACAAAAGTGCAAATATATTTATACCTAAATGCTATTTAACCGAACGATACACTAAACACCAGCATAAAAGAACCCGTGATTTTCTGTTTCAGGCTGAAGTGGTTCTTATATATATGGTACATAGTGAGAAATCAGCCTGAAGAGGTTCTTAAAGAGGTTCTTAATTTTTTTTGGGGGGGGGATATTGTGTACATTATCTAGATAAAATTGGCTTTAATTAGTGAATAATTGACACTAATGACATTCACACCATCCTCCACCTCAATCCTCTGTATCGTCAAAATCAAGACCCAACATTTACTGGAAAATGAGGCAAAATACCACCTGGAAAATCCAATCCTCCTGTGAGGAGGTATTAATATTATCTGGAACTACATGTTGTTGGTTTCCAATGGTGTAGCACACATATACTTGGATTGCCCCAGTTTGCTCTAATTTTCTGCATTTTTTTTTATATAAGCACCTGTTTAATTTATCAGGCTGAAGAGGTTCTTATATAATAGGTGCTTTATTGGTCCAATTTCAGCCTGGAGATTCTTAAAATCACGGGTTCTTTTATGCGGGTGTTTACTATATATTCACTTTAGGACAAATTCATCCATATTATACCTGAAAGTGTCGTTTATAAGATATTGCAATCCTTCTGATTTTAAATTAACAATTATCTGAAGAACATATAGAGTATAATAATTAATGTATCCCAGGCTTGAAGTTGGTAGTCAGTCTAGTCAATTTTGGCATGCATTGGCACTAAGTTGAGCTGAAGGGGTCGTTGTCGTATATGTAGTACCCGAGGTGTCGGCGAGTATGTCGCCTACGCCTACTTCCTAACCCTAACCATATCAGATAGTTAATTTACCTCGGGTACATATATTTGTACTATCCTATAGCAGGCTTTCATTTTTAAGGGCCGCGATCGTGCTCGCGCTCCACCGCGCACCCGAAATTGTGCCATGGTGCGCGCATCATCGCGCCTCATAAAAGTAGTTGAAATCGCGCACCAAAAGTATGTCTATTATGTTGAAATAGCGCTCCATAGAGTTATCAATGTAGGGGGGTACAAAAAGGTTAGCAACACACAACAATTTGTGGTGTGTAAGTAACTGAACGTATGGCAGAGGTACAGGTCTGGTTACTACCCTCTGGTTTATATATATATATAAATACAACTAAACAACAGCATCCAAATACAGGTACCTATACGGTAGCCACAAGTTACCTGCTCGTTTTCTACTATACGTGGCGAGAAGTGGTTTTCTGCCGACGTGAAACAGTCGTAGGGCTGGAGGGGCTACATACGTGGCTACTACGTGCAAGTAATTTGGCTAGTTTGTTGATGGATTGTGATGATATTTTGTGCTGAAATATGCAGGTACATGGATTAGAATCTCTAAGGATGGAAATCAGAATAAATAAAACAAGTTTATTTTTACATCCGATCAACTCTTTTATTAATCTGTGTGCTTTAAAGGTGTGATTTTTAGTAGAGCTCTCCATCATGCCTCTTAAGGGTGTGATTTTTTAGTGGAGCTCTCCATCATGCCTCTTAAGGGTGTGATTATGGAGCGTGAAAAGACCCCCTATGGTGTCCTAGGGGAGTCATTAGTAGTCCTCCTGTACTTTTCAAATCTGAAAGCCTGCTATAGGACAACGACCCTTCGTGCCTAAGTTGAGCTGCCAGGGTCTATGTCTCCCTGGGTACTGCCGGAACGTACCATGGTACTATCTAATATGCCGGACCGTACCTCGCCTACTCCACTAACGAGTCTAGAGAGTCACCTACGCCTACTCTCTAACGCTAACCATATCAGATAGTTACCAGGGTACGTTCCGGTATACCGGACCGTAACCAGGGTACGTTCTGACAGTACCCAGGGAGACATACACCCTATATCAGCCTAGGTTCATTGGCAGCAAGAACAAGTCGGCACCTGCAGCTACAGCACACACGCGGCTATTGACTATTAGTATTAAATATAACAAACCGTTGTTATATATAGTCAATGACACGTGTGTGATGTAGCTGCAGGTGCCGACTTGTTCTTGCTGCCAGTGCCTAAGTTGAGCACGAAGGGTCGTTGTCGTATCAGGTACTACATATATCATAATCATATGTACCCGAGGTAGTTTTAGGTTGTTTAGTATTATGTTTATGGCAGTGGCTACGGGTACGGTAGCCGTATCTTAATGTCTCGAGGCTACGAGTACGGGAGTCCATTCGCTTTCATACTTAACGACACAAAGATGGCGGCGGTGGCGCAAGATTTCGAAATAACGCCTTGGGAAATAAATTCACGATTTGAGAGTTTAGATGAGCTAGAACCCTAACCCTAACCCTAACCATAACCCTAACCCTAATCCTAACCCTAACCCTAACGCCAAAAAGGGGCTTCAACGACCGACGGCTACCGTACCCGTAGCCACTGCGTATGTTTATATTTTTATATGAGGTATGTTTAGGGTTAGGGTTAGGGTACACTTCTGTAGTACAACTACAAGTCTGGGCCCAAGGATAGAGAACATGGGTACCAATAAAACCAATGTGCCTAACCCTAACCATAACTCTAATTCTAACCCTAAACCTAACCCTAACAATAACCCTAACCATAACCCTAACCTATTATATTGATATAATATTATATTTATATTGATGTAAATGACATTGGGCCGTTTTATTGGGTCCCATATGTTCTCTATCCTTGAACCTAGATGGCCACAAACAACTTGAACGTACACAAACGTGGTTGTCAACTGCTTTATATGCTGCCGCCTTCTTAGACTCTTCCACCTGATTCATGTTGATACTGAATAACCGTGAATAAAGCTCAAACGTTTGTTTGTAATGTGAAAAACTGAATTGCTGTTTTGCGTTGAGAATTTTACATGCTTGCCGCAACATTACAGACCGGTGTGATAAACACAAACGCGACAAAACAATACACATGCGCAGTGCTCCTTGTCATCTAGTACTAGTAGATCTACCACACATCACCATCACATTCTTCGCAAGACAGGGAAAGTGTACTTGCGCCGACCAGTGCGTTATATATACCACATATGTTATTTTAATATTTAGTTTAAACTCATTATGCGTTTATTGTTACGTTACGGATCAAACCAATGAAGATATTTCCCGCGCTAAATATTTTTGATTACATTCTTAGGAATCGCAGTGCAACATTTGTGATTGGTTTATCCAAAACATGTCACAGCTGCTCGTGTGTTTTCAGAAGCTGAGGAAGATAATCGTAGATAGGGAGCTGTCATGGTAGGAATAAAGGCTTCCTTTACGTTGTTTCATGTGTAATATTGAGCACTGCTAACAAGTCTCGATGTTAGATTTCACCGGTAACAGTTACTGTGCTTGGAATGTCTAAAGTTGAATTGCAACAAAACACAGGCTCTCTACTACTAAGCTGGTGGGATGTGGTTTTGTGATGGAGAGCGAACATTGGAACGATGGAATTTGGAAAAAACATTGCAGCATGCATGTCATTATGAACAGATGATGGTTAGCCTGTGTTGAGCACTGGCTGCTCGCATGTTTAGCTGATTAATGGCAGCTTAGTGAAGGTAGCTTTTGTATACGCGTCTGTGCCAACGTCATATGGAAATCGTTAGGACCAAGTGGTCGTCTCAAGTCTCACAGTCACGATGGGGAAAGTAAAATCGTTCGAAATCACTTTCAATGACACGAACAAAGTGTACTATCCGGGACAGCAGGTCACCGGCAAGGTGATGGTCGAGTTAGAGAGTGACATGAAGTTGCGAGCGATCCGGGTGTACATGCGTGGTCTCGCCAAGGTGCACTGGACAGAATCGCGCAGCACCACCTCGCGGCTCGGCACCATATACACGGAGCACTACAACGCCGAGATTGAATACTTCTTCAAGCGGCAGGAGCTGTTCGGCTCGCTCGCGGAGACGGGGGAGGTGCGCGCGCACGCGTGGCTGCCGCAGGGCCACCACGAGTTCGACTTTGCGTTCCAGCTGCCGACGGACGGCATCTCGACGTCGTTCGAGGGCAAGTACGGCAGCGTGCGCTACTGGCTGAAGGCCGAGATCGACAAGCCATGGTCGTTCAACCACAGCACGAAGCGTGCGTTCACCGTCATCAGCCCGATCGACATCAACCTCGTCGAGTACCTCTCGCCCGTTGAGAGCGGCGCCGAGAAGATGCTCTGCTGTTGGTGCCTGACGTCTGGACCTGTGTCGATCAATGCACGCACTGACCGGCGCGGCTACTGCCCCGGCGAGTCGATCGCAATCACGGCCGACTTCGAGAACTACTCGTCGCGTCCCGTCATCCCGCACGCGACGCTCTACCAGACGCAGACGTTCCTCGCCGGCGGCAAGTCGCGCTCGCGCCGCTACAAGTTCACGATCCTCACAGGCCTGCAGATCCAGCCGGGCCGCAAGGCGACGTGGGACGCGCAGCTGCTGAAGATCCCGGCCGTGTCACCATCGATCGTCAACTGCTGCCTGATCAAGATCGAGTACACGGTGCGCGTGACGCTGCAGATCCCTGGCTCGTACAACCTGTCGCTCGACCTGCCGATCGTCGTCGGCACGGTACCGCTGCGCGGCCGGCTGCCGCACTACCGCGCGATCGACGTGCAGGCGATGAGCGACGCGCGCGTCACCTACGTGCCGCCGGCGCCGGCGTACCGCGAGCAGGCAACGCCACCGCCGCCGTTCGACTCGTACGGTCCGCCGCCGACGTACATGGAGAGCGTAGAGGGCGCGGTCGACATCCGCGACGAGGACGACGGCGACGAGCAGGAGGGCGTCATGGGCGACTTCACGTTCACGCCGATGTACACGTACGTCACCGACTACCAGTACCACCAGCAGCCGCCGCCCTACTCGGAGATTGACCCGCACCCGACGGCCAGCGCCGGCCCAACCGCCATGTGACCCCCGGCTTGTGTAGGTACTAGGCTTAATGCGTCTGCTCGTTGCCATTCACGCGTGCGTGCGTGCATGTGTGCGTGCGTGCGTGGGTGGGTGCATTCGCGTATGTTTCCCGTTGGCGTTCTTGGACATTCTCGAGGCGTGCCCGGCGAATGAACCGTGATGTCTGTCGCCTTGCTCATTTGAATTCGGTTTCAACATCTCGTTTGAGCTGACCGAATAGATTGCTATAAATCTCGATAGTGAATAGTGGTTTCTCTTACAGAGTCTGACGTCGCGTTCGAAATTAATGTCTGAACAAGGCTTGTTGAACCGGAAATCACACGTTAGATCTGTTTGGATATGTATACGTAATGATATTCGTCCGGTCAAGGAAATGAAAGCCTGTTTAACGACGCTTCAATTTCTCTTCCATCTTCGTCATTTCGTGTCCCTCGCTTGTACACGCATGTGCATGATCAGACTATTAACGTCAGAGCCATTGATTGACAGTTGTTTGCAATCACCCGTGAATTCAACATTTTCCCTACGATGAAAATGCACTGATGATTGCCTCTGAGGGGAATGTTTGGATGTAAGGTTTTTTTGTCTGGAATTAACATGCGATTGACGGAGTCATGTTTCTGCACATGAAATATTTCGTGATAGTCTTCGGCTAGGCTATTTATTTTGAATATATATCGCCGCGTATGGAAACCTTAATTTGCATACTTACAGTGTCGGTAAAAGTTGCAAGATTGTCATTTCAGATATGAGGGAGAGCGTGTAGGGAACATTTTTTAACGGGAACATTTTATAGTTTTACGTGTAGATATTTAATTGAGACGAGAGAGTTCGATGTTTTTAATGTGGTGATCCGTGCATGTCACTGGCATGGGCAGAGTGTATTGATTGCTTTGTGTACCCCGAATAACCTGAAACACGAAATACATTGCTAGGAACAAGCGAAGCCTTGAACGATCTCTCAAACATCCCATATTTCGCCGGTAATTATAATTTATATATTTTTAGCGGCGCGTGCGTACGGCGAAATCAGAATCCCTTGCGTGTTATTACGAACAGCGCCGCGTGCATTCACGCTACACCATGAACTGACACTCAGGTGAAATAAGATGGTCTCTTTTACAGACAGGTGTTCGTTCTACTGAGGTGGTTTCAATGTATAACTGCTACTCAAGGGAAACGCCAAAAGTGTCCTTTACAGGCAGGTGTCCGTTCTATAGAGGTGGAAGCTAATACAGGTCGGACTGTACGTGGAAACTACTGACGAACAACGCGCCTGTCGCTGAGCCAGCCCTCACGTTCCTTCAACACAACTTTCTCTTGCGAGAGTTTAGCTGGGATCAGCGAAATGAAATGGGAAGATTGGCATCTGACACGTGTATGGAATTTTCTCTCCGTCGCGCGGAAGAAGGGGGAGGGGGCGATCGCCGCGACTCCGTACGCGCGCGTTAGGATTGCTCTGATAAAATTGGCGTAAAAATTGGCGCGAATCTGGCGTAAAGAGTGGCGTAAATTGGCGAAAAGACTGACGTTAAGAGTGGCGCAGAAATTGGCGTAAAATTGGCCTGCCGAAGAAAAAACATACGAAAAATGACCCGCGATGCTTGATCTGACAGACGGCTTTACGATATTTCGCCGATTCGGTTAACTTATTCGGTAATTTTCGGTGAAATTCACAGCGTGTTTCTCTCTCGGGTGGCACGCGCACAGTGGAAAGGTGAGGGACTCTTTAACGCTTCATCTGCACTCTTTCTCCCGCGAGGCCTGCACGATGACGTCATGCTTTCAATCAACTGCGCACGCAGACGCACTCAAACAAGCCATGCCTTTCGGTAGATCGTAAGTGCGTACTCAGGGACGAGACGTCACTATGCGGGAGATATGTTTGTTTTCGGGTTGTGATAGGGTCGGCGCGGGAGAGAAGGGTGACAGCGCCCCCGGCGCGCGCCGACACACACGCACACGCTCACACACACAAACACACACACACACGCGCGTACACACACGCAGGCACGCACGTACTCACGCACGCACGCACGCACGCATGC